CAGCCCCGGGGCTGAGGGGGGGGGGGGGGAATTTCGGGGGGTTGGAGTCCACCCATCTTAAAGTTGCCAAGGTTGAGAGACACTGATCTAAACAATTAAGGAGACACCTACCATTACCAGCACAAAGAGAAAATTAGCTGAACATAGCCTTGCTAAATCTATCAAGGGTCTCCCTAAACCACAGTCTTTCCTCTATGGGTTGGGAAGAGTTTGAACTCAGCACAGTCAGATTAATATCCACTCAACCTGGGCCAAACTCAGGCAGTAAACCCCTGATCCTACCCACATTGCCTAGGAAAGAAATGGACAGTTTATTGTTAAAACTGCCGTCCTGGCATTAAAGAACACAAAGGGCAAGCAGGGAAGCTAGAACCCCAAAAGAGCTTGCAAATTTTCTACCCAGAACATTATTTGTTTGCTATAATTGTGTATATATCTCCTTTAATTGTTCTATAGAAAGCTTTGTTAGCTGCCTTAGGTCCTCTTCACACTGCTGAGCTGAGCACTCTCCACACATCTTGAGTTGGCTGAGAACGATGCTGGCATAAAATTTGCTTCTCCATTGCTACTCGGTTCTATAGCTTCTCTTCCCAGTTCTTCCCACTTCCTTTGACGGTTATGAGTAACAAAGCCTAAGCAATTTTACACGCCATGAGTCTGCTCTTGGCTGGTGTCAAATAAGTAGGAAAACACTACTTTAACACAGATACAGCTAAGGATAACTTATGGCTGTTTCACTCATTGTCTGAGGACAAAATGAAGACAGGTTTGTGCCAGGTAGGAAAAAGCCCACAGATACAAGATTAAAAAAAAATTAAGGTAATATAAAAATATATCCAATATGCAATTTTCCATCTAATCAGTAGAATTCAAGTGTGTATCTCTCTCTCAGCTCCTCAAATCCACTATGTGCTAAGTTCTGCACAAAAACAGATTTAAAGGAGACAATGATTGATTAAACATAAGTACTTACTCTATATCCTTCAAGATCTCTCATTTGGATCTGCAACAGTGAAAGATCTCTTAGGATTTGTAGATTGTCTTTATCTAACTTAAGAGCATTTCGATAGCACTTAATCGCTTCATCGTATTTTTTATCGGAGCGCTGTAAGAGTCCATAAACATGCCAACCTAACAGAGTTAAGGAAATGGACAGACCCTGTATTCTGAAGACAAATTATACAAACATTAGTGCAACTCATTGATCACGGGGTTGGTGTCAGCCGTACAAGGTAGTCCAGAAAGAAACACACCCAGGAGTGCCAGCTCTATCTTTGCTGTAAGGTTACGTTAACAGAATCCTGCAAGTCTGAAAGTACATCTCTCCTCACATGCCTTTACAGTGCAAGAAACTAGGGAGGGTCCCTTCTGAGATGTTTGCCACCCCTACATTCCTGCTGCGGGTTCAGCTGCCTCTTACCTGATCGTTGTCTAGTCTGTGGCTCTTCCTCCTCTCTCCCAAGGTCATTCCCACATACCATTACAATTGGATATATTATTATCATTCTTTGTTATGAAATTAGCTACAGGGGTGATCTCTGATGTGGAGTAATAATACCGTTTTAATCCTCACTTACAAGCTAAAAATGTATTCTGTGCTAACAGTGTAGTTGTAAATATGTACTTCTTTCAATTAAGGGTTGTACAGAATCACTTTCTAATATGGAAAACATGTATCTGCTAGTTGTTTTGTAGCACACAAGGTCAGACTCTGGTTATGACCCTCCAACATGTCCCAGCACATGTCTGTTCTTTCCAGAAGAGTTCCCAAATGCATTCAGTTAACTGATACTACTAATTGGTACAAAAATCAATTGGTCTGGATCCCAAATCAATAGATTCCAAATATATTGTATGTCTTCCTATCACAATATGACACACAAATGTGCTGGATATATTGCAGTTATATCCTTTTTTTCAGTTATGAATTACTGTAGTAGATAAAAGAGTGTCCTCTGATCCTGCTGCTGTTTTAAAAAGTGGTATTTGAACCCACAACGAATTGCATTTTAACAGAAAAACTGTAAAGGAGTTTCTTAGGTTAAAAAGATGTCCTGCTGTTTTGGAGTTTGTGTTGGAATATAAAATATGCTAGAGATCAGAGAAAGGGGGATTGAATCTATTCAGAGATCTGAACCATTGCTAGACAAGATCTAGAGCCCCAGGCCTGAGAACAAATCATTATATGCTGTAATGTCAAACTAGTCTACGAACACAGCAACTTTGGTTTCGCAATGAAACTGAAGTACATCTGACACAAAGACATTTCTCAATGTCTTTCTACAACTGAGGCATCTTTCTTGACTTTGCACTGACATCTTGCACCTTGTGGCATTTTTCACCAGATTGTGTAAACTCTAAACAGGTACAGTGGTCGGGGAACCCCTACAGTGACTGTGCATTTTGTTATGTCTTTCTCCTTCCCTTTCTCCAAGGAACTTAAACCTGTACAGGTTATTCCACTCCATTTCCTCTGTACCCCAATCTGATAAGGTAGGGTAGTCTGAAAAAGTCACTTTAATGAATTTTATGTAGACAAGAAATTTACACATTTCAGAATGAAGTTTGAGGGAGGAGAAAAGACATATTAAGCAAAACTGATGTACAATTTCAAAGGATACACACGTGACTTTTGACATCATTACGAAGCCCTTTACGAACAAATTCATACGCTTCTTCTTTTTTTCCTAAACAGTTCAGTGTCAGGCCTTTCATAGCTAATGTCTCTGGAAAAAAGATTATATATATTTTTTGAATAATGAGTCAAGGGATACAGCAACATATGCTTTAAGGAAGTACAGGTATAATAGCTGAATCTTCCCAAAGACTGCTTGGGGATGCAACAATGCTTACATAAGGCTGAATTTCTACTCTCCCTCCCACCCACTAAAACACAGCAACCTTCAGACTCAAATGGTCCTCAGTTCGCCTTACAAATTGCATTCTGAAGTGAGGATGACATGAAAGTGGTAATGTTAAGACGATAAAATATGATTATCCTGGTTAAAAATGAAGTTTCTGCTATAAACTCAGTTGCACATTTCTGCTTTGTGACCATCAGCCCCTCTGACTCTGGTCATCCAAAGATTGTTCACCTGAGTCTTAAAGATTCCCCAGATCACTTCAACAGAAGTGGTAACTCCTTGTGGGACAGCATGCTAGTCTTTCTCCTGAATATGACAGAGGAATGCCCTATCCCACTCCTGTCCAAACACAAGGCAATTTTGGAACAGCTTTTAATTCTTTTCGAAAAGAAACAACTTCCACCAAACAGAGGTTCATCTTCAAAAGTTCTCCCAGTTCATGTATCCTTTTTGAGACCCCAGATACACATAACAAGAGAAAGAGATGGTAGAGTGGACAACATTAACTTCAAGCAGATGATGAATCATATCTGAATACTTTACAAAATACTAACACAAAGAAAGGGAGGTGCTTTTTTTTTTTAATGAACTTTAAATGCAAGGCACATCCAGGTTAAAAAAAACAAGTATACACAGAGAAAGAACTCTTTACAACGAGTAAATAATTTTTTACTAGTCTCCTCCCCATGATGGAAATTTTCTACCTTTTTCTAAAAAAATAAGCACTGATCCATTGAAAGAAATTGTGTGAGATGGGCGAAGAAAGAAAGAAAGAAAGAAAGAAAGAAAGAAAGAAAGAAAGAAAGAAAGAAAGAAAGAAAGAAAGAAAGAAAGAGTTAAAATGATTGAATTTACCCTGTCATCTCATTCTGCAGTATGTGTAGACTAGGCCATGACTGAATGCTTTAAGTTCCATTCAAAAAGGTCATGATATTCGAAATTGGTATTTTGAGAACTGAAAGGACTGCTGATTGTGTTTTCATTTGTATTTTAAAGTTCTGATTTAGGATTCAAAACAGTATCTCACAATTATAAACACTTCGCCTACTTCCTCACTAGATGTATCGTATCTTAGAGCATCCTCCAAGTCCCATTGCACCAACATAATGAACACAAGCTTTGTGTTGTTACAACAATGGTTGGGTGACATCTATAAACTATTTGTGAGGAAAGTGCCTTTGAATATCTCTTAGTAAACAAAACATTGTTGTATCATTTTAAGGAAATAAAGTAACCAAAATTTCAAATGTACCTCCATGTTCAGCAAACTTTGGATTGGAGAGGATCATCTTACAGAATTTGAGTCCATTTTTGTACTGTTTTTGTTCATAACATTTCTAAGGAAAAAAAAAAAGAGAACAAGTAATTAGATCAAGTCAGCAACATACACACGTGCGCGCACACACACACACACACATATACACATAATATTTGAACATGTACATATATATTCTACCAGCTACTTATAAAAATGAAATATAACTTCAAGGAGGTGTCAGTCTTGACCAGGGAAGAGAAGTCAGTTTTCTTACTCCAAATTGCCTTTGATAAACTGCTTTTTGTCCATTTCTTTCAAATATGACTGTCCAAATATTGTAAAATCTTGGTGTATTTTATCCGGCAAACAATTTTTATTATTAACCATTCCACTTGGTCCAAGGAATGAAGCCAGCACAGTTTCATCACATGACTCAACATAACTTTTTTCTTGTTAATCAATGAGAACTGACAGAATTAGCTTAAGTTTTTTAAAAAAAATCTCTTATATTTTACATTATTTCCCTTTGCTTGATAGCCTAAGCTTTTTTTTAAAAAAATCTTTGTGTGTTACCTATATACTTAATTCATTAAAGATGAGAAAGAAATTATTTCTCATATGAGCAAAAATATAAAATAAAATAAAAATGCCAGAGATTTTGCCATTAGGAAACATATAATTAATCTTCTATAGTGAACAGGTAGTCCTCAGTTTAAGAACAAGTTCCATTCCCAAGGTCTGTCCTTAAGTTGAATTTGTATGTAATGCGGAACCACATTATTATATAACACTGTATCAGTAGTACTGTGTAATGAATTCAAACCACTGTGAATTTAACTCGAATTTTGCTACAATAGGCTCTGTTCTTAACTATGGTTGTCTGTAACCCAGACATTCTTAATCCAGGGACCACCTATACATAGTTCATAACGTACATGAAATGGATTAGAAACCAAATGACTCTTTGTTATTAAATTAGAAGTCCACTAATTGATGGTGGCTGGATGAGTGAATTCATTGTACACCTCTTGAGACAATCTGAAGTAGTCCCACAATTAAGATATTCCTATCCTCCAGCTGTAATGGAAGATTATTTTATTCCAATTCTAAAGTAAGCCAAGCATTATTGCTGAATGTTCATGTGAACTTCCATGCGTATACATGAGAACTAATGAACTTAAAAAATATTGATACTTTTTGCAAAACTCTGCTGCATGTCGATTGTTACACACTGTCAAACTAAAGTGGGGATTTAGTCAGTGACGGTGATTAAAATGAGCAACACCAGTTTTAAGTAATCACAGAAAACACATAAAATGTTGAGACTTTATGCAAAAGTGTGGTGGAAGCAGCTTCATGGCAGCAATTTATGATTCAGGACAATAAAACTGTAGCCAAGGAAGAACAATCTCTTATCTAGAATGGAAACCAGGTTATTCAAACAATAAATAGCGAAAGTAAAACTCTGGGTTGGAAACAAGAGTTAGGAATGAGATATTGACCCACGAAGTATTAAAATATGACTATGAAGAGTAAGTATTAAATGAAATGAGTGTGTATCAGATTTTGGAGTACAGTAATACAATGGAAATTCCCTTCCTCTCATGTCCTCCTGTGTTGCCTCATCATGGTGGGGGTTGTTCCTGGACAGGATGAGCAAAGAATGCTGGGCATGTATGCCAAGAGTATACATTCCCTGCAGGGTCACCCAAAACATGAAGGTCATCCCAGCTGCCCAGGCTAAAACAAGCAAGCACCTTGACTGGGCAGTTGTGATACAGGAAGATGTGGGGGCAGATGATCACTTGAGTAACAAAAATGCATCCATTCATACTGCAAGGATGAACTGAAACCACTCCTATATTTTTACCAAGAAAACCACATGGATAAAAAATGGATGATGATGGATGATATGGTGCTGGATGATGGGCCCTTCAGGCTGGATGGCACTCAACATGCTACTGAGGAAGAGCTGAGGATCTTTCAGAGTACTAATGGTGTTAATAACATGGCCAGATTAAAACCTTTAGTTGCTGATGTTGCCACAGGAAAAGAAAATCTGAAGCCCACAGAAGTACAGTGGGAACATGGAACGTTAAGAAGCATGAACACGGGAAGGATCAGCACAGTGAAAGATGAAGTGAAATGACCACAAATTGACATCATAGGCATCAGCAAATGGAGATGGACTGGGATTAGACACCTATAGTCAGAAGGTCACACCATTTATTACTCAGGAAATGAAACACAAAGAAGAAGAAATGGCATTGTTTTTATAGTTAGGAAGAATATAGCAAGAACAGTGCTTGGCTACAATGCAATCAGTGACCAAATAATACTGATTAGATTCCATGGACAACCATTTAATATGACGATCATTCAAGTTTATACTCCAACCACAATCATGTCAGAACAAACCATGAAAACTGACAAGTAGGGAAGGGAAGCCCAGAAAGACAAAAATCTCAGGAAGGAACTTAACAAAAAGAGACAAGAAGCAGTATTACAACTTCTGTACAGATACTGAAGATGGAAGCAGACAGGGAAAAACAAGGAAAGTCTTTCAAAAGATGTTTGAACTCAGGAGATTCCAAACTTGAACTGGTATACTAAAGGATGCCATGAACAGACAGTGACCGATTCAAAGGAGAATAAACAAAGATGGAAGGACTATACCAAAATACTGCATACTCCTAAGATACCTTAGAAGATAGTCCTTACTTATAAGAACCTCTAGTGCTAGAAGGTGAAGTTAGATTAGCACTCCAGCCATTACCAAGTTGGAAGGCTACAGGAATTATTGGAATATCCACAGAAATATGGCAAGCAACAAAAGAAAAATCAGTCAAGGTTCTAACTAAGCTATACCAGCAAATCTGAGAATGACACAGCGGCTAACATATTAGAAGAGGTCAATCGACATTCCAGTTCCCCCCCCCAAAAAAACCCCAGAGTATGCAAACTATTGTTCAGCATCTTTAGTTTCACATGAGAGTAAAGTAATGCTTAGGATCATCCAATGCAGATAAGAGGCCTAGATAGAAAAGGAGATGCCAGATGTTCAAGCTGGCTTTAGGAAAGGCCGAGGAACATGATGCATTATTACTAATGCACGCTGGTTAACTGAGAAAGCCAAAGAATACTAAAAATAAGTCAGTATGGGCTTCATGGATTATAGAAAGGCCTTTGACTGTGTTGACCATGCCAAGCTGTGGAATGTGCTTAGAAAAATGGGAATTCCAGAACAACCCATCGCAATCTGTATGCAGGTCAGGAAACCACAGTACAGACAGAATATGGAGAAACAGATTGGCTCCAAGTTGGCAAAAGAATGAGACAAGGATGTATACTCTCCTTTTATTTATTCAAACTATATGCTGAATATATATTAAGGGAAATTGGAATAGAAAAAGACGAGCATGGTTTTAAAACTAGAGAAAGAAACAATAATCTGCACTATGCTGATGCTGCTGCTCTGACAGCTGAAGATGCAAAGGATCTGCAAGCTCTAGTAATAAAAACAAGGAGCACAGTGAAAAAAATGAGACTAAAATTAAACATAAAGAAGACCACACTACAGGTAGTCTTCACTTACTGGCCACTTGAATATTGCAAAGGGCAGGGGAGCAGTTAGGAGGCAAACAAACCGCAAAGGTGTGAAACTGACTAGTCTTGGCTCTTTCCAGCTGGAAAGCACAGTCATGGTTACATGATTTCCCACTTAGTGACTGCTTTGCTTAGTGGCAGAGTTGCTGGTACCAATTAGGTGTCATTAAGCAAGGACTACCTGTAATGGCAATAGATACAACAACCAGCCTTAGAATTGATCATGAAGATATTGATGTGGGTAGATAGCTTCTGTAGTTTAGAATCAATCATCAACAGCAGTCAAGAAATACGGTGCAGATTAGCACTTGGTAGAACAGTCATGAAGGTCTTGGAAAAGATATTCAGATACCACGATGTGTGTATAGCTATAAAGATCAGAACAGTGCAAGCAACGGTATTCCCTGTGATACTATGGAAGCAAAAGTTGGACTTTGAAAATGCTAGATAGAGTACTGATGTTTTTGAACTATGGTGTTGGAAAAGACTCCTGAGAATACCATGGACAGCCAAGAAAAGAAACCAACAGATCATCGAAGAAATCAACCTAGAGTTCTTACTGGAGGTACAGGTGATTCAAATTAGGCTCCTTCAGATGCATTATGGGAAGACCTAGTTCTCTGGAGAAGACTCTGATGCTGGGAAAGGTGGAAGGGGACAACCAGCAGCAAGGTGGATAGACTCAGTTACAGTGGCAGTGAGTGCACCACTGAAAGGAACGGGTTAGGAACAGACTGTCATGGAGAAAATTTATCTATGTGGTTGCTAAGAGTCGGCACCAATTTAATGGCAATCAATCAATCAATCAACAATGGAAATGTCTGTCAGTGCTGAATCCTACCGTCAAAAAGTGTACAGAGTGGCTGGACTAAAAACGCAAGTGAAACCCTTTGAACTTTAAACTCACTGCCTTGAGTTGTTTTGATTAAGTAGCCCCACAGGTTGAAGGAATGATTGGACAAATAAACTTCTATTCATATCTGAAAAAGTAAAAGTGGAATTGTATAACTGAAAAAAAATGCTAAAGATTCTGGCTAACACTCTTTCAGGCTACCTGTTTATAGGTAACATTCAAGCATTTTGTGCTAAAATAGGAGTTAAACTGATCCTTGGCAAAATACTTGTAATCATAGATACTGAAACTGATCAAATCCGTAATTTTTGTTTAGGTGTGTTAATATTTAAAACACCGAGGAAGAAACATGTCAAAAGTAGCCAGTGGTATAGTGAACTTTGCTGTCTTCTAGAAAAAGTAATCCCTTAGCTGTTCTAAAATTAGTAATTTATTTTTAGCAAAGAGAGTAGAGTGTTAGAGTGACTTGCTAAGAGGCATTCCATAACCACATTGTAAGCAAGAAATATCAGGAGCAATATTCATCTGCATTTTCTACTAAATAGGTCCAGCACTGTTAGGCCAAGGAAAGGAAGAAAACATAAACGTAGTAAATCTCACCAGTGACAGTTATTTCCCTG